TCCTCTTTACCAATTATAGCACAAAATAAACATGAATGAACATCAGAAGGTATCTTCCACTAAACTGTGGAAAGATGTCAATTCACACCATTTTTCAAGTTCAACTCCACCAACGTTAATCTACTCGCCTGTCTGGTTTGTTTGTCGAACAAAAATGGCAGATTCTGCATTATGATTGGTCAGATTGCTTGTCAATCAAACTCCATGTAAAGGGTCAATTGCTATGTGTTCATAGGTCAGTGATGGACAAATTCAGTCCTAGCAAATCGTAGTTCCATAGCTGATCTAACATACCTGCTTGTAATTTTCAAGCACATGGGCTGCATTCCACTTCGCTTTTAGACACACAGTCACAAACTTCCCTAAGCACTTCCCTAGGGAAATCTTCACTGCCATTTTGAAGTGCGTTCCATGAAGTGGTCAAGGAAAGTTTATATGGACAGACCCTCAACCCTTCGTGAGTCTACTTCATACAGTATGTTCACTTCAGTCCGCTTCATATACCACAATGCAACATGACTGTGACTTCATCACAGACTGCATTTAATTTACCTCTACCCCAGCTGACAAAATGTAAATAATAAATCAACTCCATAGCAGATTTCAAGTGATCAAGGACTTAGGACGTTCCAATTCAGCCCATTGTAATGTTCTGACAGTAGTGGGCACTTGTGCAATGTAATCAGTGACGTACATCTGAGTCAACATGATGGAGGGATGTTAGCAAGGGAAGAGCATAAAAAACAAAATGGAACACAGCCATGTTAAGATTTTTCAGGTGTGTTTGATGGGATGAAGGTAAACTCTGCAGGACTGTGGCCCTCCAGGACCAGAGTTGCTCATCCCTGTTCTAGATGGATGATAGTGTTCTGGATGGCTGCTAGAGATTCTTGATGATTCTAAGGCAGGGTTCCTCAAATCTTGCCCTTGAGGGCCGCTGCCCTGCAGACCCTTATCAAACACACCTGAGCAAGCTAATCAAGGTCTTAAGGATCACTAGGAAATCACAGGAAGGTGAGCCTAGTCCGGGTTTGAGCTAAACTCTGCAGGATTGGATTTGAGGAACCCTGTTCTAAGGCATTGCTTTGCAGTTGCTAGTGAGTGCTTGGTGGTTGCTGGAGCATTGTCCGATGATTGCTATGGTTTTAGTGGTCTTTGCTAAGGTGTTTCTAGATGGTCCAAGATCAGGGGTGTCCAATCCTGCTCCTGGAGGGCCACTGTCCTGCAGAGTTCAGCTCCAACCCCAATTAAACAAACCTGAACCAGCTAATCAAGGTCTTACTAATGCTGCGTTCACGCCATGTCGTAATTACCATAATTCCGACATGACAACACGTGACATTTTACTCATAGCTTCCATGTCCTCGGACTCTGAGTTAGCACCTAAGTAGCGCCTAAATGAACCTAGCGGCGGTCAGGTGGTACAGCTGTCACTGGTCCAACTTGTAACTCTCAAAACATTCCGAGTTTACAAGTTGTAATTACGAGTTCTGGAGCGCATGAGGGCTTTGGCGTTGATAGTGTGGCCATAGAAACACATAATTCAGCTCCGAGTAGAATTGAACGTGTTGTTATCTCAGAATTACGGTAATTACGACATAGCGTGAACACAGGTTAAGCATATCTGAAACTTGCTGAGGCAAGTCAGAGCTAAACTCTGCAGGACAGTGGCCCTCCAGGAGCAGGATTGGACTCCCCTGTTCAAGATGGCTTAGATTAAATGTGTCAACCTCTGCTCCTGGAGGGCCACTGTCCCGCAGAGTGTATCTCCAACCAGCTCCAAAATACCTGGCTGGAGGTTTCTTGTAACCCTGAGAACCTTGATTAGGTGATTCAGTTGTGTTTGATTAGGGTTGGAGCTAAACTCTGCAGGACAGTGACCTGCTAGGAACTGAATTTGACACCCATGCTTTAGATGGTCCAATTCCCTAACCCTGGATGCGTGCATTAGTAATGGTGATGCTTGCTCAGGAAAGCTTGCAATGAAAAGTAGTAACAGACAGAGGTTGTTTCCAAAATCAGTGATGGGAGACTTTGAACTGGGCTTTAATTAGATTATGGTCTTATGAGGGGAGTTCACGCTTGCCTGTTTCTCATTACGAAAGAAGAACAACATCATTAAAGCACAGACATCATGAATCATTCTCTTCTGCCCTGTCACAGCGCAACGGAGAGATAAATACATAAAGAGAGAGAGAACAAGATAGAGGACAAGAAAAGCAACAAATATTGAAGGATGTCTGAATCCTGAAATATATCTAGGGTTACATATAGCGCAACCTCATATATATCTATTTATTGTCTCTGTGCCTCTTCCATTTGTTTGTGGGGCTCAGTCCCCCTTGTTGTCATGGCGACGTGCCATGTCATCCTCATCAGCGGTGCTTTGGCTTCGCTATCGTCTCGGAGGCACTGCCCACACGACCTCGTGACCCCTCTCATGTCTGCCGCAGATTTACAGACCCAGTATGACAGGCCGTCGAGCGGGGACACCGATCCACAGAGACAACACACACACACACACACACTTCTGCCTACAGACATACACACTCATGCTGAAGCCTAGAGACACACACAAATTCCTCACACACATTTGGGCCAACGGATACAGAATGACTCATATCTGTTCTAAAATACACCCATAAATGCCTAAATATACAGACACAAACACATTTAGACTGACACAAATTAATAATAAATATTAGCACACACGCACATTCACAGATGAACATGCGCACAAGCCGAATTTATAACATCTGTTGCAAAGATCCAAGATTCGGACACACATCCAATTTTTTATTTTATTATTTTTTAATCCCCTGGGAAATTTTTTTTTACGTAATTTGGGACGCAGCAATGCAGATTTAAAACTATTAAAAAAATGCTTGTGCATGTTATTAATTAAAAATGTTAATTGAAACGAAGCTGAACAACATATGATTAAAATGTGCATAAAATTAGAAAGTTGCCTTGCAAATAACTAAAATAAAATAAGTTGAAGTACTAAAACTACTAAAACTAAAATAAAAAAATACAAGCACATAACACGATGGAAAATTCAACTACAAGTAAAATGAAAATATACTGAAAATATAAAAATTAAAGCTAATTTAAAATATTAATAAATACTATGATATAATAACATTATAATCATATTATTAATTATAATTATATATATTAATTATAATTAACATTATATAATAACACTGATGCCAATAATTATTTTCATGTTATGGTCAATAAATGATAAATGGCTTCTATAATTATATTATACTAAATAAATAAAAAGTAAAACACTAAAACTAAAAACAGCCATTTTAAGTGCTGCAAGTGAATTTTCGCATCACAAAATTATAATGTATAGAATGTAAAATCAGGATTAATTTTGGAACTGGTTTAAGACTACTTTAAAAAGTGTTATTAAATTAAAAAGGTTAATGTTTTTAAGATTACCTTTGCTGTCACCTACAATTAATGCTGCAAGTGAATTTTCGCATCAAAAATTATAATGTGTATTATTTAAAATCAATACAAGCATGCACAATTTTAAATATCAAATACTAAATGATACTGATAAATAATTAAAAAAAAAAAGTTGAATATCAACCAATAACTAGATGGTACCATTGTGCATTACATAGTCTCTTGGAAAGTTGACCCTAAATACTAAATACTAAAATCCATATTTCCACAATAATAGATTGTCAGTTTTTCCTGTAACTACACTGTAAGGGTAAGAGACCTTTACCTGTGTCCATAGAGTGTTGCCCACACAGTATGTGTGATTCGTGAGAAGGGGTTTTGGTTGTGACACTTGCTTATAAAAGCACACAAAACATAGGATGACAGTTATCTTATGGTTGGGTTTACAGTAGCTGACACATCTGTTGTTGAAGCGTGACTCCAGTGTTTGATGTACAAAGACGCCGTGCCTAATAATAACCTTACTATTCAAGTTCTTCTTGTCAAAGTTGCTTTCATATTTACACCAATAAGGAATGAAGTTTTTATGTGGATTAAATAAATATTTATGTCACCCACTAATTAATTTGCACCAAACTTTCTTTAAAAAACTTGTTTAAAACTAATTAGTGCATTGAAGGTGTGGGCTGCTGAAAAATCTGAAACAGCTGACACTTGTAAATACACTAAACAATGAAAATCAGTTGACAATCATGAGCACACCTCAGTTTTAGTCCATGTACTCAACCACAATCTATTCTTAATCTTGAATATATGTTAATTACTGTATATTTAATTGCATAGCACATACCACCTGCCCAAATTGTATACAGACGGCCAAAAATAGTGCATATATAAAAAAAGACAAATTCCAATATTTAAACCATAATACCAGAATAATCTTAACACCAGTAACAACTTCTTTAGCTCAGACAGTAGTACATGGAGCTAGCAACATCACAGTCATGGGTTTGATTCCCAGGGAATGTATGTACTTGTACTTGAGTGCTTCACATCTTAAAAGTCTATATTTTGCAAAAACCGTAATTGTAGATAACATATTAATAAAATAAAGGTACTTACAGTATGTATACTTACAATAAGTACACTTCTGAAACTTGCCAAAATGTCAAATTAGTTTTACTTTAAATTACATTTATGTAATGAAACCATTATGTATTAAAGTATGCTAAAATGTACTTCTTTTTTTACAAGGGCTGATAAAATGTATACAGTGAATGGATAAACACATCTGCCGAATGAATGTAAACAACTAATCAACAAATTGTTTCTACATAACCTTTACACTTTCACTCTTTTCTTATTCAAACAAACGCACAGTGAAAAAACTAATATATGTCATTCCGGGATATCAAGAACAAGAGGTCATTCCAATTTTTTTTTAACTCAGTACAGTTTCTAATACATAAAAGAGTCAAAACTCTCAAAGTTCTGTGCACCCAGATCAGTTACAGTGTAAATGTGGTGAAACTTGTGTAAATGTAGCTGAAGGTAAAGGAATATCTATTGGTACTTACAGATCAAACTTTAAGTTCTGTCTTTCTTCAAAGAAGTAGTCCAATATGAATTTTCGCACAAAATCCGGGTTCAAAGTGTTATCAATAACTTCCGTCCGCCCAAACTGAAAGAACAAAGGAAGGTCAGCTGAAATTATTTACATCAACATTTTCCCATTGAACTGAAATCTATAGAGGAAAACATCATAAAATGTATAACAGTGGTCTTTAGTGAACTTCTAAACTGGACTCAAAATGACTTAAAATTATTTAAAATAATCAAAAACGAGTATTACAATAAGGTAAAGCAACTAAAAATCTATATATTTCTTAACAGTTTTTTTCTTTAAAAAAATACAGGGTTTTCTCAGTCTTAGAAAGAATGAATATATATACAGGTGCATCTCAATAAATTAGAATGTCGTGGAAAAGTTCATTTATTTCAGTAATTCAACTAAAATTGTGAAACTCGTGTATTAAATAAATTCAATGCACACAGACTGAAGTAGTTTAAGTCTTTGGTTCTTTTATTTATGATGATTTTGGCTCACATTTAACAAAAACCCACCAACTCACTATCTCAACAAATTAGAATACTCCATAAGACCAATAAAAAAAACATTTCTAGTGAATTGTTGGCCTTCTGGAAAGCATGTTCATTTACTGTACATGTACTCAATACATGGTAGGGGCTCCTTTTGCTTTATATATAATTTTAAAAGTATGATTTCTAAATCTGGAAAAGCCATGTAAAGTGGTAAAAAAATTAAAACGCCATTTTATAATGAATGCAAATATTACAAGTTATTCCAATCTCTAAAATATTTCATAAAAAATGCCAAATTCGTATATACAAACCTAAAGAGGTAACATTACTTGTGTAATTAAAATGGATGGAGCGACTGATCCTATACATATATTTTGAACCAGTTTTAGTTCATTTTATAAATCTAAATTTGATGAGTCTTTTTTCAATGTTCTAAGTGCAAATACAAGTCCCTGTTTACTGTGTACACCTCCCACATTCCTGCTACCTTCAACGTCTTTAACATGGAGGTCAAAGAGGCGCATGACAGTATTGAGAGGTGCGTTGAAGCCTTGATGCGATGTGAAAGGGACTTAACGTTTTAATGAGCCGACTTGAAAAGTGGGCTGGAGTTGTCTTGATATGAGAGTGGGTGAGAAAGTTATTACATTCTCTGGGTGGCTTATCATATTTTACCAGCTAGTGATTGAAGTTAATAAATACATGGCCCTCTTAATGGTGCTTTAGAGAGCCTGATATTTCCTCTGACTAGCTGGGAAGGCAAAAATATGAAGAACTGATAGACACGAAAATAATTGAGATGACTATTCTGAGAATATTCCAAGCCCATATTTACATGTATGAATATTTATGAGACCAAGGGTCTGCCAGGCCCTTCAAGGGGTCGACACGACTGGGCCAGATTGTTCCGCTTACCTCTCGCCACTCTTTGTTGCCAATGCCTTGGGTGTACAGCACACAGACTGTGGAGAGCAAAGGGAGAGAGAGATTGTGTTACACAAAGGCAGAGAATTTTTTTCAAATGCCAGAAGACCTGTGACGCTCTTAACTCAGACGCACTTTGTGCAGGGTGCAATCTTGTGGTCTACTCTACTGTGTTTGCAGAAAAACAGCTTAGAACCAGAGCAGTGGAATGCGATGAGATAAAAATCTCACTGGATGAGTTACAAAGCTTTTGTAAACCAGCCAGTATCCAAACCTCTATTCATTTCGGTCACAAAAAGAGATATTTCTGAATGACATGAGGGTGAGTAAATGATGACAGAATTTTCATTTATGGGTGAACTATTCCTTTTAATATGGCAATATCTTAATGTGCCAACTAACCGATGATGGATGGATAAAGAAATAAATAAATGCACATACATACATACATAACTGTTTTTTTTTTATACCCTTATGTCTTTCTTTCTTCCATTAAACACTAAAGGAGATGTTTAGCTGAATGTTCATGCTGTTCTTTTCCATACAATGAAAGTAGATGGTGACCAGGGGTTGTCAAACTCCAAAAGGCACAAAACAATTGCTATAAAACATCATAAAAATAATCCGAATAGAATTCTGTGTTTCAAATCTTCCAAAGCCTTAAGATTAATTTGTGCGAGGGAAAAATTAAAAGTTGCTATTCAATGAAAATAGGAAAATTAGACATTCTGCTATAAATACACTCTCAGAAAAAAAGGTACAAAAGCTGTCACTGGGGCGGTACCTTTTCAAAAGGTACACTTTTGTACCTTTTAGGTACTAATATGCACACTTTAGGTACTAACATGTACCTTTAAGGTACCAATATGGACTCTTTAGCCTTTTGAAAAGGTACCACCCCAGTGACAACTTTTGTACTTTTTTTTTCTGAGAGTGTAGAAAAATACAAAAAAATCTTCATTTTAGGTGAACTTTTTCTGTAATTTTAAAAGTATTTGTGTACATTATTGATTTCAATTTAAAATCGTACACTTAAATAAATGAAGACAACAAACAAATATGTTTAAAATGATGTACACTCACATGACATGAAAACAGATATGAGTGGACTAGAAAAAGTCATTTTATCCTACAAATAGGTACCTAAAAATACACCACCCTTATGGTGGCCACCATATCATGATCACATGACCAGCTCTAAACTACTCGCTTGATAATAGTAACCATCCTATTAAATTCCACTTTAGGTTTGTAGGATAAACTAATCCATGTTGTTGTCATGAATAATAGTGTGAATAGAGTAGTTCTACAGTAGCATTTGAAAAAACCTGTAGATGACACTATAAAGTAGGATGGTGCCAATATAATGTTAATATATCATGATCCTTATTCTCATGATATTGCATTGATAGTTTAGATGTTTGTTTCAACTTTTTTTTATTTGTTTTATTAATGTATGCATATTTCTTACAGTTAAAAAAAATGATATGGCACTTAAGTTTAAAACACTCACTAATAATAGTGTGGATTATTCCTACAGGAGAACTTCTCATGCAGACAAATTTGTTCTTAACCTTGTTCTTACATTAATGAATTTGGAGTATTCTAAATCGGTGACCGCATGCTTGAGGCACAAGCACTTCGCAGCTCAAGCTTTAATGCACCCTTTCTTACTCTTTTGGTGTGTGTGTATAGGCCTACATAATGAAATATATTTAAGATAAAATGTTCAGTTAGACAAATAACATAGTATGTAAACATTTTTATCTTAACACATTTATAAGGCCTCGCAGAGTATGTTTTTTTCATACATGTGATTTGGTATTGTTGAATCATGATATGTTTGTAAAAATGTGAATATGCAGATTCATATGTACTGTTAGTAAACGTATGGTGAGACCCAATGTCCTGAAGCTGTGGATAGAGCTGATCTCTATATGTGTGTGTGTGCAATACAAAAACATAAAACCTAAGGCGCAACTACTGAAACATGCAACAGACAGTGGCAAAACGTTTTTTATAACTGAGTGTGTGTACATTTTTCTATGTGTGTCATAAGGATAATGGTAACACTAAGAGACTGGGCCAACAGTACTCAGCATAATTAAGAGGGGGGCTCAGCACAAATGCCTGCTTCCATGAATGCAAGGACCCTGTCAGCGGCCCAGGAAGAGCCGACGTCTGTTTAGATCAGCTGATCAAGAACAGGACCAGTAAACAAATGGCAATAATATGAAAATAAAAAGACACTTACAAAAACTCACGCATAGCTACTGCAATGCATGAAAGCAAAGCAGGTGGAAAAGTGGACAAAGAATCTGAAAGAAAAGAGAAAGCAGGCAAGAAAAAAGTGAAGCAGGACAGTAAGACAAGAACAAGCAACAGAAGTACGTAAATCAATGCAGATAATGACAATAATAGCAGAGTGATTAAAAGCAGAGCTGTTCATTGTTCCCTTTTCCTGTTCACTACTGCCACACACACACACACACACACACACACACGTGGCATAAAGTAAAACATTAAAGACTTTCAGTGCTTATTGTTCTTGAAATCACAGAGTTCTTTCAGTGACTCCGTTCTGTCTGCCTCCTGTTTGTGAATAAACACACCTGATCAATAAATGAGTGTTTTCAAAGACTTAGTGTCAGAATTGAATGAATATTGTAATAAAGTATAATAAAGTCTGTAAGAATGTAGAAAGTGAGCCAATAAAGACTAAACAAGTCAATAAATAAATGAGTAAAAAAAAGAGTAAATGATAAAGATGTTTGTGAATGATTGAGAAAGAGTGAATAATTGAGGGAATGAATGAATGTAAGCACATCTTGAGTTATTAAGGTGTGAATGAACGAGAAAGTAAATGACCAAAACTTGAAAGAGTGAAGTGAATACATGAATGAGTAAGACAAATAAGTAAATAAATGAATGTGAGTGATTTGGTCGATATTGAGCATGTGAATGAATCGAAGAGTGACTGAATGGGTGAATGAATGAGAGTAGAATCAAGAGTGAGTGAGTGAGTGAGTGACAAATCATGACTGGACATATGAGCAAGTCAAATGAGTGATTAAATTAATGAGTTAAAGAGTGAGTGAGTGAATGAATGAATGCAAAGGTTGAGTAATGATTAAATGAATAAGAAAGAAAATGAGTGAGTGAGTGAGTGAATGAATGAATGCAAAGGTTGAGTAATGATTAAATGAATAAGAAAGAAAATGAGTGAGTGAGTGAGTGAATGAATGAATGCAAAGGTTGAGTAATGATTAAATGAATAAGAAAGAAAATGAGTGAGTGAGTGAGTGAGTGAATGAATGAATGAATGGAAAAATAACAAATTATGAAGTGCTAGTAAAAGAATAAGTGAGCTCAATGATAAGTCAATGGTTAAGTGATGCCGTGAGTGAAAGTGTGAGACAGTGTATGGACAGGTGAGTTTATAAGGTTGATTAAATGAGTGAGTGAGTGAGTGAGTGAGTGAGTGAGTGAATGGGTAACAGATCATGACTGGACATTTGAGAAAGTCAAAAGAGTGACTAAATTAATGAGTTAAAGAGTGAGTGAATGGATGGATGAATGAATGAGTGAATGAATTAATGCAAATGTTGTGTAATGATTAAATGAATAAGAAAGAAAATGAGTGAGTGAGTGAATGAAAAATAACAAATTATGAAGTGTTAGTAAAAGAATAAGTGATCTCAATGAGAAGTCAATGGTTAAGTGAATCAGTGAGTGAAAGGGTGAGAGGGTGCATGGATAGGTGAGTTTATAAGGTTGATTAAATGAGTGAGTGAGTGAGTGAGTGAGTGAATGAGTAACAGATCATGACTGGACATTTGAGCAAGTCAAAAGAGTGACTAAATTAATGAGTTAAAGAGTGAGTGAATGGATGGATGGATGAATGAATGAGTGAATGAATGAATGCAAATGTTGAGTAATGATTAAATTAATAAGAAAGGAAATGAGTGAGTGAGTGAGTGAATGAGTGAGTAACTGTTCATGACTGGATGCTAGAGAGTGAATGAATGAATGAATGAATGAATTATAAAGTGTTAGTAAAAGAATAATTGATGTCAATGAGAAGTCAATGACTAAGTGATTCTGTGAGTGAAAGGGTGAGAAAGTAAATGTATAGGTGAGTTTATTAGGATTAGTAAACAGGGTGAATGTACGAGTGAATAAATAAATGAATGCAAAGAATAATGAGTGAATAAGCAAGAAAATGAGTGAAGAGTAAATGAATGAGTGTATAAACAAGCAAATAAATGTGAGCAAGAGTATAAACAAGTAAATGAGTGAGTGAGTAATTTATTGTATGGGTGAAAATGAGTCAGTAAATGAATGAGTGAATGACTGAGTGACAGTATAATTGAATATATATTAATGACTGAAAATGTGTTTATCATTGGAAGTTTGAATGAGTGAAAGCAGAACTGAATGAGTGAGTGTCTAAACAAACATATAAATGAATAAGTGATTGTGTATTCTACTTATGCAAAATATCTGAGAGTAGCTAAGCCATTACAACTCATAAAAATATAAATGAATAAATATTAATTATTTTGAAACACCCGAAGTAGGTTAAAGGTGGGGTATGTATTTTTTCAAAAACGCTTTAGAAAATGGAGTTGGGCCGAGTACCAAAACAAACTTGTAGCCAATCACAGTAAGGGGCGTGTCTACTGATGATGTGGAGGAGAGAGCGCTCAGTGCACAGGACCGACATTAGCCGAGCCGAGCGACGACAGAAAGATAGAGATGGCGGATAAAAAACAAAAGAGGAAAAGAGGGGCCCGTGTAAATTTCGGATCAGCTTTCCAGCGCTGGAGAGAACTCGGCTGGGCGATTTTATCGATTAATTCGAATTTATTGTTTTGCCACGATTTTATTTTTTAGAAATCGAGGAATCGCGAGAAATATGACCAAATGTTAGAATTAGACACCTTGACAATATGCCGGTGATAACAGTAAAGAGAAAAGAATGATCCAACCGCATTTGTTGGCGCAAGTGATTAACCGCTCACGTGTGATGCGCTCT